TTTTAAAGATTGGCCTTAGCTATATACAAACAAACCGTGATGTTTAATTAATCAGATAACCTTTGTTATTTACAAAAATTCTGATTTGGATACCCCTGTGATTTATGTTTAGGCCATAGGCATTTGGCGGTCAATCATCTCTATGAAAGTGTCAATTTTCAATTTATACAGTTGTCTGCTATTTACACACATTGTTGAATACAACCTAAGTCTAGCTTTAAGGCCTTAGGTTAACTCCTTAATTATAAAATTTTATCAACATACTTTGCCCTACCCATAACTTCCACTGCTCTACCACTATTTGCCCCTAACAGAATCTGGGAATTTGGTTTAAGTTTCTATATGATGATATTACCTCATTCTTATATGGAACGTAGACATTGCTAAGGAACGATAAGTAAATCAACATCATTCTTACTCTACTTTATAGACTCAAGGGTTCTATTAATATTAACATCCTGAAGTCCTTACTGCTTAGCAGAGAGAAAGTAGGTTTGTAAGAAAGCCTTCTGAACTAAGAGGTTTAAATAAGATTTACCTGGGTCTAGTCTGAGTCCTAAGTAATTCAGTCATTGCATTCTTGCAGTCGTACAAAATACCTACTGAAGTCTGGACTAAGAGACTGCCTGTAAGTGTATAAAAACGAGATTGAAGAAGTGGAAAATGAACACTATTTCAAAGTAATTCATATTAAGTAGGTTTTTGAAACTACCAACGAAATACCAAGTCTTCGAATACATATAGTCAGTACAAATACAAACATACACTTAAGACTAATGTCAGTAATAAGGGTATTGAAATGCATAAAATACAATGTTTTTTCACAAACATAAGCAAGGCAGTTTTGAATAAGAAATTCTTAGGGATTTAAAAAGTTAGCAATGAAGAGAAGCTTGTATTAATTGATGGAGAGTAGATGTAAGCAAACTTTCAATAATGATTATGAAGCTGATAATTTATCAATGAGCTGAATTAGCTCGCCCTGACAACACAAACAAATTGTGCAAACAAGCTCAGGCCACTTATATATATTGGAAGGAAACTGCGACAAAATAGAGGCAACAACATCTGGTCTTCATATCTACGTTCATGACTTAGTGCTAACTTGAGACTTTCGTAAGAATGAATTCGAGCTCTGCTGATTTACATCATATGATGGACGAGAGCTCAGACCGGCCTTACCCGAGACCAAGGAGGATGCCTCGTGGATTGCGTTAATCTGAACGTCGTAGTAAAGCCAAAACAATGGGAATCGGTCATCTACTAGTGAGATCGACAAAAGAATATTTTGATCATGCATTTTAAAGAAAATAAAAGTCCCTAAAATAATGGTATCTTAACTAGCTACTTTTAATATCTACTATATAGGTCTAGAAAACTTCCTATCGTTAGAGTAGATGAGAAGATCAAAGTAATCAAAGAATCTTAGCTAATAAAAAGCATCTATCAGGGTTGATTATCGTGAGGTTCTGAATATACTTGTCAGAAGAAATATCAGCACAAATTCACAACCAGAGCTCCAAGGAAATCCTCATTTGACCTTGTTTTCGTAACTTAGTCATATTGGTAGGAAGAATTAGAGAAAAAGACCTAATCCGGAGGCCATGGACGCATGGTAATTTCCAAAGTCGGACCGCGGACGTCGTACATTCCCAGACGTCTCGCCGGTATCCTCAGTGCGTAATGCCACTCTTAGCACCATACTACAACTCGTCAAATATACAAGTGAAGCCGATCCTTTGACCAAATGTGTGCTAAACAGTTGTGGTATCTCTCCTTCTGTCGTGGGCTATTCACATATCCTGTCTTCGTATCACGCCTTAACTATCACAATTTTTTTCCTTACTTATTTAAATGTAGTGTGGTGTGCCCTTTTGAGCGGCTTTAATGAGAACCCTCGACACTCCATGCCGGCGTTTTCACCCCCATTATCCCTTGTGCTAGGAATGTGGATCAGAGTTTACCATATTGTTACGCAGTCTTCCTTCCTTAGGTCTTGCTTTGATTAGGTACAATGTTGAACATTCGTGGGCTGGCAAACAAGAGACTAGGGCATATGAAGTGACAGACCTAGTATTAGGGATAGAAACAGGATAGACGCGGCAGAGACTATAGCTAGTTGGCTGATAGTAGGCCTGGTTATGAAGCAAAGGCTTGATCATGAGAGTTACTCGGGGTCTTTGGCCTCAAGTTAGTCTAGCAGATGCAGAGTGTGGGAAATAATGCCTCGTGGAGCACAGATGGGGTGTCAGGGGTCGAGTAAAATACTTGAACCAGAGAGATAGCGGACGGATCCTACGGAGAAAGAGGGAGACTCTGACAAGACCTAGGGAAGGAGGACTGCGTAACAATATGGCAGACTCTGATCAACATTCCCAGCACAAGGGAGAAGGGGGATGGTAAAGTCGGCGTGGAGTGTAGAGGGTTCTCATGAAAGCCGCTCTAAATGGCACACCACACTGTAAGTAAGGAAAAACTTGTGATAGTTAAGGCGTGATACGAAGATATAGGAGAGATGAATAGCCCAAAACAGGAGAGATATCACAACTTTTTAGCATATATTTGGTCAAAGGATCGGCTTCACTTGTCTCTTTGACGAGTTATAGTATGATGCTAAGACTGGCAAGACTCACTGACGATGCCGACTACGATACAAGCGTGGGAATTTACCACGTCCGTGGTCCGACTTTGGAAGTTATCATGCATACTATTGACTTCGGATTAGGTGCCTTCCTCTCAGTCTTCCTACCAATATGACCAAGTTGCGAAAACAAGATCAAACCTCTTATAAACAACGAAAGGAAACTGCGACCATACAAAAGGCTACAGCTTCTTAGCCTTCATATCTTAGAAATCCTTCTTTGCCTCTCGATGAGGTCACCCGCCTCTTCAAGCGAAGTGAAAGGTGCGTAAAGATCAAATGATTATATTCCAAAGTGATGCACTCAGTGCAAAATGAATAATAAAAGTTAATAAACAAGAGGACAATGAAGTCGGAATAAAGCCCAACAGAGGGAATCACAAAAGAGAGGCGATAAAAACGGCAGACGAAAAGTAAGAAGATGGATAAAGTGATGAGAGCTCAATATTTAAGCTAAAAACTGATGTCACCTTGTTGATGAATAGAGCTTTGCATCGAACTATTCGGTGAAGACCTCATCTCGTGATTGATCCCTTGTCCTTCTTCAGCTATTGATTGCATTATTCGAGAGCCCGTCATTCCAAGGCCAGAGGTGGTTATCCCGATGTCAGGTAACTCTACGGCGGACGGCGCAATTTTAGCCTGTCCACTAGTGAATAAGCGATCTACCGATTGCTGCATCACCATCATTGATGTAGATAGGGCCGGTACAGATTCGTCAGCCTTCGGGGTCGTTGATATGGCCTGTTGAGCTCGCCCACTCGACAGTGGAGTGAGACCTCGTGGGGCTAGGTTGAATGCAGAAGGGAGTCCTCCAAGGTGGAAACTATTCATCGATTGCGTCATTATCAGGCGACCTCCCTATGATTATAAGAGCATTGAATATAAGTCTAATGTAGCTAGGATCATAAAGGTAAGCAAATCCATTCTGAAAGAATCCTTACATGCATACAAAGTGAATAAATTCACTATGACAAAAAAACCCAATCCAATTGTACTGAATGATATGATATATTGATTAATTTTTTTTAGATTACCACCATTTCGAGTGAAATTCTGTGATGAAGGGCTTGAAAGGTCGATCCCACCAATTGAGGGCAAGTTCCTCAAGACCAGCTGTTAGTTGGTCTCACTGGAGCATTCAGGTTCACTCTGTCCTCAAAGCAATCTTCATTGTACTAGGCTGTCGTCTGTCATCATTAGAGCGAAGTATCATTCTTACAAATAATTCAAATTAGGAGTAAAGAAAACTAATCGAATTATCCTTACGCGCTGTACACATCGTTTAAACCTGTACATCTTCATGAATAATAGAGTGATTTAGTTAGCTCATGTCATATATCATTCCCCATCAACCAGCCTATCTTTTAGACAAAAAAAACAAAGGCGAAATTACTATATGATGAAAGGTCTATGCTTCTTCATTTTTTGTGCTAATAATGAAAATTGATAAGTATTTGAATGTACAAAGAATAGCTGGGTTTGGAAGAATTACTTTATAATTTTAAGACCCGACTTTTTAGTTGGAAATAAATCGCAGTTGCCTCACCAATAAACAAGGGAATTGCTTATAAAATGGGATTACTGATTTGCGCGAACAATCGCACCGTATTGCAAGCTTTCGTCTAGTCAAAAATAACTATCCTACATGCGTGCAGATGAGCGATATGAGAGGAGGGTTCGTAGGTGATACTAGCTGTTTCTTTAATAATCTAAACAAGAGTTAGGAATATAAGATGCAAGAGGTAAAACCAGACCCCAGGTTAACGGAATCTGCCCGAATTTCTTAGTGGTTCGCCTTACTTCATGTTCATAACTGTTCAAGAAGTTTACAACCCTTGATAAAAGTAAGTTACAGCTTCTAGGAGACCACTTATTATTGGTGATAAGCTTTTGTATGTAATTTGCCAGTCTTCCTAATATTCAGAAACCCTCGCAATAAAATTCCTCAGTACAGTAGGCAAAAGGTTGCCAGCTGTGGATAGCAAGTTTGATGTGGATGGAACACTCCATAGTTATAGTGTTGGTTTTCATAGGTTTAATTTGCACCAACAAGATTTTGATCTGATAATGCCCCTCCTAAGGACATCTTGTGAACTGGTGTACTAAATAAAAATTTCATTACAATATCCTTTACAAGATTTATTCTGGAAGATCTGAAGGACTATAGTGTTCATTTTGGATGAAGAAGACGAAGGTTATTCCCAAAACTATCCATAATTACCCAAGTAAATGAGTATCATTAAATTGCAAACTTCCTCACATAAGTTATTTAATTGTTTCTGCTACATCTCGCTAGAGTAAGTGACAAAGATCAGCATGTCCGAAGGGAATTTACTCATTAAACAGATTCATTCTATTGCTTGAGAGCATATAACAAAAGGTTGTCTAATATCATATTAGCGTGACGACTGATTTTCCCGGTGAGACCCATATATTCTGAGATAAAAAGGGCTTGAAATGGTCTTGCTCCGTGCGTTTATATAGCATTTAATTCTAGAATAGCGTTAAAGTACAGGCAATTTAGGCACAGTTACAAATATAGGCCGATTGTACTCATTATCTGAAACATATAGACAGGACCTAATTATTGAATGAGCACCAGAGTCTGAAAAATAGTTACATTGGCTAAATAAGGAGATTAAAGGACTGATAATTGAATTCACCACAGCAAGAGGCCTTACAATAAAAGTCAACTTTACTTAGCTCAGTCTCTTAAAAAGGTGGACTTTGGTTTCGATCTTGCCTAGGTCTCGCCACCAACCATGATTTTAACCATGGAATTGTGGGCAATAAGGAAAATATGTTATCATCTAAGTCAAACGACCTTAACTGCCTTTATTAAAACTGAAGCTCATGGTTTGAAAAGAAGTCAAAAATGCAGAGGAATCTGAATTCCCTTTGATGGGCATAGCACAGAAAAGTAATTGTTTGACCCTTTTTCTACAGCTTGGTCATATTGGCAGGAAGACCTAGAGGAGCACACCTTTTCCGGAGTTCATAGTATGCATGATAATTTCAAGAGCCAGACCGTGGACTTGGTACACTCCAGGACGTTTCGTAAGCATCGTCAGTGAGTCATTTCGGTCCCAGCACCAAACTGCGACTCGTCAACGAGACAAGTGAACTCAATGATTTGACCAACTTTTTGCTGAAGCGTTAGCCTAGGATATATTTTTAATTTTACCTAAGTTCGTAAAAAGAGAAGAAAGAATCAAGTGAAATAAGTCAACCAAAAAGGTAAAAAGCGGATCTACGGGCGCACGATACAGATCCAAATAGGAGGCCCGAGTTGCACAGAGCAAGGAAAACAGGTGTGATGATGTCACGGCAAATTCGTCAAAAGAGCACAACTCTTGGGAAGTGGTGATAGGGTGAGGTCGAGAGTAAGAAGTAGATAGATGAAGCAGTTTCATTTAGCAGGATAAAGTTGATTTGATTTCGTTTTAGCAACTTGGTCAGGGCAACAGGGAGACTATGCGGAACAGCTAATCCTGCGTACTTTACCTTGGTATCATGATTTACAGCAACGGACAGATGATTTGGTAGATTACCATACATTTCAGTAAAAGACGCCGTTCTTAGCAAAGAAACACTACATATCAGTATGAAGAAAAACTGGGTTTAGAATAATTCCTTAATGAAATATTGTGCCATGAATCCATTTCAAACGGAAAACTGCTCAGAAAAAATTCGTGATATGGTCTCACCGGAAACCGAAGGAGGATTTTCGTGTAAGCAAGACTGTTGAATTATGCGAAGAATTCCTCGGCTCATCATCCTACGACCCCGATAAAACTGTGTTAAGCTTTCCTCTGTACTGTGACAGACATCATCAGAGCAAGCTTACATACTTTATGAAATAGAGCAAAATATACTAAACCAAGAGAAAATGTTTGGCTTAATCCTAGTCGCTTTTTTATAGGCCTAGCATCGTCATCTTAATAAGGCTTCCCCTTATTTGGTTGGCTACTTCAACTGTACTCTACATGCTTGCAAATGAGTGAAGTTAAATTCCCGAACTGAAAATGCGTTCGGTGACAGCTTTATCACCGCAGCAAAAACTAGCGTACGATCGAAGATGTGGAGACCAAGATGTTGTCCTCTCGAGTATGGTCGCAGTCTCCTTTCGACTTATAGAAGTGGGTTGACCTCGTTGTCGCAACTTGGTCTTG